CTGTAGGTCTACCCGCATGCCAATTCGGCGCTAAACATAGCGACGTCTGCTACACGCAACAAAAACGTTGCTAAACGCGACATTCGTAGCCCGACACTCGTGGTGACTATGCAGACAGGTGGAGACCGAGCATTGACAGCCTTCGCGCACAGGTGCGAACCGAGCACGGTCGGCCCCGCAGACAGGTACAGGCCGAGCACGGCGGAATGTAGGCGGTCACGGGCCGAGCACGATGACTGTGCACACAGCCACGGACCGAGCACTGCGGTATGTGGATATCCACGTCCCGAGCACGGCAGCCACGTGGACAGGTACGCAACGAGCAAGGTCGGCCCCGCAGACAGGTACAGACCGGGCACGGCGTCTGCACTGCAGCAAACAACAGACTCTCCACGCTGCAGCCCCGCTGCTCAGCTGCAGCAGACGATTCAGACTCGCCACGCTCGCCGCTCACTCGCACCACCGGCGGCGGCACGGCCTCGGGTTACGGGGCCGTAGAAAATCAAAGTGCGCTGAAGGTTGCCACATACGTGGGTATGTGGCTGAATGGCTGAATGGCTGAAGGTTGCCACATACGTCATTATACTTGTCGTTGAATTCTGCGCAATCGGTTTGCTGGTCACATACGTCTGCCACGAACAGTTTGCTCGTTTTGGACACAAAGGCAGCGCGATGTTCTGACCTTCCTATCGTAAATAAGTATTGTGTGCGTGTCTTCGCTTTTTATGTCACTGCATTTAGAAAATTTGCCGCATATGCTTGCAAGATTCATCATGATGTTCGCCATAAATTTCACATGGTTGGCTCTCTGGTTATATGCGCCTTTTTTCTAAGTTTTTTTAAAGTATATATACGACTATTTTAATGTTCCGGTTGCCCCTCAGAATTACGACCGAAATCCAGCGTCCCGCAGCGCATTGAAGTATCGGCAGTGACGTGTGACACCAGTGACGTCACGCTAACGTTAAGCGAAGATAAAACGAGAATCACTTTAGCTCTCCGCGTTTTAGCCCCCTTATACGGCCTTAAGCACGGCCCATGCGAACAGCAGTGTCCAAACACCTCCCATTATTGGTTCTGGATATTCCCGCAACGGGTCACACGTATCAGATAAATGGTGAGAAAATGCATACCACGAATCGTTCGATCAAAAGAGCACCATACGAAAAATTCCGTACGTAGAGGCGGGGATGCTGAAAACCGCATAAAGGGAATGCTAGGTTCACAAATGCACGAGGGACATTCGCATAACAAAGGGAACGCGGCATGGAGAATTGCGTTGGCGAATATGTGTGACGCGAAAAACTGCTCAGCCAAACAAGAACAATACCGCAGTGCATGCTAAGTTTTACCCAGGCGAAAATTCGTCGACGCCTAGCTTGACGCTGACGAAGTTTGGAAACGCGAATAGGCCTTTGAGCCGCAGCGAATGCCTATTAAGGACATCTGCGTACATCTTTAGGTCTATCACGTACCTTTCACACACTTCATCGTACCCTGTCCTAACAAAACGCAGCTGCGAATTCCGTCACAGCGCATTTTTGCAACACGAAAGAGAGTGATGCGATGTTTTGAACACACAAAATAGGATAACAAATTTGCTCATTTACTTATCATATTCGCTTTATTTATATGATAATTATCTTAACGCAGCATCGTCCATGCGTACATAGTCTATCTCACAGGCATGATATACGAAGATGTCGTATTTATATGTACATTTGTGTCGCATTTCTATGTCAGGATCTCGGCGTAGCTGACATTTGCCCAAGGGAAAGATGCTGAGGATCCAATACGGCACTTTGCATAAATTGGGTTAGCTTTCGCGCTGGATACAAGCTCCAAAACGGGCGCATTGTTTGGGCTGGGTAAATGCGACGATCGGCTGGTAATGTTGGCCCATTAGGGCACGGTCACGTCGTCAGCCCACTAGGGCACTATCACGTCGTCAGCCCACTAAGACACGATCACGTCGTCAGCTCACTAAGGGACAGTCACGTCGTCAGCCCATTAGGGCACGGTCATGTCGTCAGCCCACTAGGGCACGGTCACGTCGTCAACCCACTAGGGGACAGCCACGTCGCCAGTCTGCTAGGGGACGGCCACATCGGCACGGCAGCTCACTAGGGGACGGCCACATCATCAGCCCGTTAGGGCACGGTCACGTCGTCAGCATACTAGGGCACAGTCACGTCGTCAGCCCGCTAGGGGACAGCCACGTCGGCAGCTCACTAGGGGACGGCCACGTCGTCGGCCCGCTAGGGCACGGTCACGTCGTCGGTCCACTAGGGGACGGTCACGTCGTCGGTCCACTAGGGGACGGTCACGTCGTCAGTCCACTAGGGACGGTCACGTCGTCGGTCCACTAGGGGACGGTCACGTCGTCGGTCCACTAGGGGACGGTCACGTCGCCGGTCCACTAGGGGACGGTCACGTCGTCGGTCCACTAGGGGACGGTCACGTCGTCGGTCCACTAGGGCACGGTCACGTCGTCGGTCCACTAGGGCACGGTCCTGGTAACGGGACCGAGGGCAAATTATCTCGTGGACTCGGACGGCACAACTTAGTGAGGGATTTGGCACACCCGCAGCATTATCTGCTCACGAAGTATCGTGAATGAAGTCATCGACTGAGCGAAACATTTGAAGCCATTCAAAAAATATAAACGTGATATTTTCGTGTTCAGGCTATGCATTGTGTGCTTCGCATGAATGTTAACACCGGACCAACTATATAAATATGTCTTGCATAGTATTGGGCGAGCGCGCGTGGGCGGCCCGTCGCACCTGGGTTGGCTGTCTTGCAACAAAGATCGCGTTGCTGTTGTTACCAATACCCAAGGGGCCACGTGGCTGTCTAAGCGGACGCATGCCACCTGGTGCCGCCAATTCGAAACGGCAGCTTGTTGGTGCAATAATATATTTCTGACCACCGGAACAACGCAAACCAATCACTACAATGACATATTAAAGCCCCACACGGAAGTGAACAATGAGTTGCAGTGCTGCCCCAGTGGAGTTGAACCACCTGCACCCCATCGCCGCTCTCATACCCGGCCGGCACTGGTCACGCGCTGCGCGCCGCGCCGCAGACGTCGCGCGAAGCCCTGTGGCGGCCGGCAGCGGCGCCGCAAGCCCTCCTCCACGGACTGCCCGCCGCGTGTCAAACACACGCCCTCTTATAAAAGTGTATTTTTGCACCCCTATCGCACGCATGCATACTACATTCGATGTTCGAAGTAAAACCGAACGCTCGCGCTGCGGATAATTACTCGCTGCATTATCTTACGCTAACAGTAGATTGATAGCAAAGTTACTCAACCATTTGCCATGGTCGTTTTCAGCGGTCTTAAAACATTTTCAGATGAGCTGGCATCTCAGCTACAGCTTCGCCGCACGGTGTTCGTAAATGTGGAGGACATATATTTGAACACTGACGCGATGACCATATCTTGCCAGTTACTCTTGCACGATTCGCGAATACGGGGACAACACCGATTGATGACTGACTGCCACTCTGTAATTCGTATGCGTAACATCGCATACATATAGCAGCCGCTGGTTCCAAAGGCTTTCACTTGGCACGGGTATTACGTGCATAGACCGACGCAAAAGCCATCGGTGCGTCGAGGCGGATGACATGACATACTACCGGCACGACCCGTCCGGTAAAGCAATTCCAAACCCAACCTGAACCCAAGATGGGTGCGCATGTGTGGTTCACACTGAAAACGACGGATTCTTTGCCGGCTACGGCTTCCGCCCAGCTGACCGAATATTTCGAAAGGCACTTAACAATAGTGATAGCATCCAGCGGGCTTTAAACAGCAAACAGGCGCTCGGCGGCTCCTCACACACAAGAGGGACAACAAAAGAAACGGCAATAAAGCTGCTCTAGTAAAAAACAACACGCTACCTGACGACTAATGTGCGTAGACATCTAGCCCCACGAGGGGTGGAGGGAAGGCGAGGGAGGGGGTGGCAGCTGCCTGGCGTCGCGGAGTGACCGGCAGGGGTCACAACACAATGAGCGCTGCGCAGCCGCCGGCTGTCGGATCAACGAGCGCACCGCTGCGCCAGCACACCAACACCCACCCCTGTGTCGTTTACCTCAGCGTGAGTGCAGGCTTATGCAGCTGTGAGAGAACCCAAGCCAATAGCAGAGCGCCACCGCCGGGGCCGACCCTTCGGCCACGCAGTGGTGGGGAGTGGACCGACGACGGGGGACGGCGGGCGAAGTCTGCTGCTGACGCCGCCCGCCCCCCGGGAGGACGACAGATTGTATGGTAATCACCAACACGCGGCGGCGACGCCCGCCATGTCAGAAGAGCCAAGACCACGCCCGACACCAGACACAGACCCGTACCACCGCGCCGCCTCCACCCCGGCCGCCTGAACTGCGGCCAGAGCGGTGAGCGAGGAACACAGGCCAGCCGACCGCCAAGCCCGACGGTCGGCGTGGCCGCAGCCGGCTCGACCGAGCGCGGCGGCAGAAGCCGGCCGGCGGCGACCGAGCCCAGCCCGCGTCAGTTCCCGACGCCTCCGACAGGCGGCAACAGCGTCGCGGAGCCGCGAATGCAGTCTGACGTATCCATCGTGCGCACCAGGGTCGGCGAGTGCCTAGCCGAGCATGAACCGGGCATTTCTGAGCCCACGGTTGCAACACTGCTGCAGTTGACTCCCGGTCTTTACGTGGGCCCTCACAAACAGAACACCAGCCCTAGGCCTACTCACGCCGCGCAGTCACGCTGCAGGCGGCACAAGCGGTCTCATGTCTTCGCGTGCACCCCAGCTCTCGGCCATGTCCACACGCCAACTCTGACCCGATCTCAAGGCAAGGCGATCGGCAACAAGTCTCAGCTGGCAGCGAGGCGTGAGGGAACATCACAGCGACAGGTAAAACACACCGGCACCTCCGCCTGCGCTGAGAGGCAGCGCGGGCCGGTCGCGGCACGGGACGTTCAACAGGAGACCAGCGCTGGCGTCCGGCCGCGGGGAGGGCTGACGGCGACGGCGGCCGCCACCGCTGCGGGCGGTCCTGCCTCGCGCCGCGTCTACGTCCACATGTAGGTGGGCACCAGCGCCTCCTTGGTGCCCAGGTCCGGGGTGAGGTCCTCCGACTCCAGGAACTCCAGCGGCAGGTCCACCAGGTGACCCTGTCGACGGCAGCGTTCCGGGTTAGCGGATGCGGAGGGGGACGGGCAGTCGTGCGGCGGGGACCGCTCGCACACGCTACCCGCAATGCAGGAGATTTGGGGGGGGGGGGGGCGGGAAAGTGTCTCAAGCACCGTGCAGTAACCATCTCCACCGGGTCAGCAATGCATGCCGTTTGGTTGAAGCCCCAGCAGTGAGTACAGTGCGTCTTCGCCCATACCAGTTCGCAGAGACATGCAAGGTTCAACGTTTTGCATGAATTTGAATCGCTACAAAATGAGCACCGCATGCGTATCGGGTTGCACGTAATTCTAGCGTTCGCCTATATGAAACCACTTTCTCCAAGTTTGAGTCCAAATCTGGTGACTGGAAATACTCCCTCGACACCGCACATAATACCACCTGCGCCCGTCAACGTTCCATTCACTTTAAATGATCTAGATGTTTTAAAAAACAATGTGTGTGTGGAAGCAGCTAATATTACTACCAGTAGGTACCGCGATTGTTGGCGCTGGCACACACAGCAAGTCTACCGCTCGCCTTGGTCAGTCGCACGCGGTCTATCACTTTCAAACCTTCAACGCAAACACAACAACCAGGGACAACAAATGCAAGCAAGCAGGCGACGAAACAAGGAATCCACGACATTACAAACGCCGGGCAAAAAAAAAATGGAGCAGCAGCGGCGTATTATCATACAGTGATTAGCTAAAAAGCTGGTCAGCGAACTGTAAGCCATTGCGGCTTACAGCTTTGAGTGACATAAGGTTGTCTTTGTGTGCATAGTCATAACTATCACACAGCATAAATAAAGACGGTAATACTAGACAACCCAAAACGTCACAACCAAACTGCTATTGTAACCCAGCTCATCTAGCAATTTGGGTTAAGCATCTCAGGCGTTAAGCGGGCGTTCGGGACACAACCACATACATTTATTTGCCCAATCTGGCAACCTCGACTCTATACGGATACATCGGCTCGACACATCATTTAAGTGGTTTGCATAAGCCCACTTTTCCCAATAAAAGAACTACCAAATGTACGAGGATTAATGTCATATCTCGAAAGAGGCTGACTTGAGGTTCTTCAGCATGCTGGTGGAGTGTAAACCAGCCTTCGAATCACAAGCCAGCGACGACCAACTACTAACGACTCGCCACTCAGCCCTCCTCGGGGCCTGTCGGCTCCAATTTCGGCAGGAAGGCGAGGACAGGGGTCCTCACAGTCACCTGAGTTGGCAACGCTGCGTTCTCGCACAGCCCGCCGCGTTCCAGACGTCCCATAGCGTTGTGTGGAGCACGCGACACCCGCAGCGGCGACAGAGCGCGAGACTCCACTTCAGCACACAATACGTCACCTGCCCCCACGTCACTACTCCGTCACCCGTCTCTGCACGCAGCGCCACCTATCCACCAGCCGGGGCGTACCGGCACGGACCCGGCACCGCCCAGACATCGCCACAGCGCCACCTACCCGCCAGCCGGAGCGTCCCGGTACGCGCCCGCCACCGCCCCGACGTCACGACAGCGCCACCTACCTGGCGCGGCCGACACCTACCGCTAGGTCCAGAGGGCGGTGGGCATGAGCGCCTCCTTGGTGCCGCGGGCCGGCCGCAGCTCCGCGTCACACAGAAAGTGGAGGGGCAGGAGCACCAGGTGGCCCTAGGTCACAGGCGGAGGCGGTGAGCGGGCCGGTGAACGGCGCATGCGCGGCTCAGCCGCCGGCCGGTTAGTCTGCAAGCTGCTATGTACAATGGCGTGGTGGCATGCCTGTCTGGGCCGGCGCCGCCACCGTCCCGGCTGGGATGGCGTGCTCGCCGAGCCGTGGTGTGTGCACAGCAATGGGTTAGTGCCAGGCACACGCTGCGATGCAGTTTAGGGACGACGGAACTGCGAGGAAAGGTGCGTTGAACGGCCTTCAAAGCTCCATTACACATGCTCGAAGAGTGTGACAGTCGACAGAAGTGTCAGCTATGGACGACGGATCGGGAGGACGCGTCCACCGCGAGGACGCCACCGCAGCTATTTACACAGCAGTAGCGTCCTTTGTTAGGTGGTTAGGGTTATCCAGCAATGGGCACACGGCATGCCAGCCGACACCGTTTCTCTAGAACGCCGCACATTTCAAGGCATATCATTATCTACAGCGTAGCTAAAACGGCGTGGCTAAAACGGCGTAGAGCTAAAACGGCGTAGAGCTAAAACGGCCAACTAAAACAGCGTAGCTAAAAGGGCGTAGCTAAAACGGCGTAGCTAAAACGGCGTAGGTAAAACAGCGTAGCTCAAACGGCGTAGGAAAAATGGCGTCGCTCAGACGGCCAAAGCCTGTCAATCAGAGGTTGTACCGGACCAAACCGTGAGGCTACGCGAGCACTACTGCGCTGCTGCTAGGGCGCGAGTCACGGGGGACCCACCAGCATGCCAGCTAGCGCTCATCGGGCGGTACAGTCGAGCCGTCCTGACGATCACAGGGGCCCCGCGCGGCCGGCCAGCACCCCACGCCACCTACCCGTATGTCCTTGAGCATCTCCTTGGCGCGCGACGGGTACGACAGCACCAGCGGCACCTCCGCTTGGAACGTCTGCAGCTGGGCGAAGCTCTTGACAGAGTCGGTCGGGATGCAGCGGAACACCTGGCGCGGACGGAGGCGGCCGACCGTCAGCAGAGCGGAGCACGGCGCCCAGCTGCGCCAGCCAGCAGCCGGCTGGCCCCGTCACGAGGTCGGCACACTGCGCTGGCTCTTTCATGCATTGACCCCATCTGGACAGCATCCAGTCACGGTCTCATCAATTCCTCCCGAATACACCAGGGACATGTGACAGCCCCTGCGGGGCTTGACCCAAAGCCCGCCAGCCGAGTCCCAGCACCCCGTGCCCAACCCACCTTTTCGAACACGTCCGTGTTCTTGCTGGACGCCTTCAGCCAGACGCCCTGTAGAAGGCGTCGCTGATCGGGTCGTTGACGTCCACGTCGTCGTTGGGCGTCTCCAGCAGACCCAAGTGCTCCTTGAACAGGTGACGGCGCATGGCCCCCGCGTACTTGCCCACCTTGACCGCCTCGCCGTTCATCACGCCCTCGTCAAACTCCAGATCCTGCGGGGGCGGCCAGCCGGTCGGTGACGTCACCGGTCTCAGTGTCGGTGTGACGTCACGGGGCGCGTGCGAACCGGCGGCCTTACGCCGTGGCCGTGTCCTGGCCAGACGTCCCTCAGTCCCGGCACCGCGAGAGTGCGAGCCGGCTGCCGTGTCACAGGCCACCGCCCGTTCGCGACCACGACCTCGGACCTACACAGGCCGCCAGACGTCCCTCAGTCCGGCACCGCGAGAGTGCGAGCTGGCTGCCGCGTCACAAGCCACCGCCCGTTCGCGACCACGACCTCGGACCTACACAGGCCGCCGCGCACGCGCGTGACGCCGCTTCGCCGGCCCGTCCCCGGTGCTCACCTCCACGACCATGCAGACCTCGGAGTCCCTGTTGCCCATCATGCTCCTGTCGTTGACGTTGGCCGAGCCGCAGATGACCGTGTCGTCGTCCACGATCATCAGCTTGCTGCAAAACACGCGCACACACAGATCGTGAGTTGCGAGGACCCGCAGAGACCACCACAGGGCTCAGGGAGACGCGCTGACCGAAACGGAACGGGATAAATGCGCACAGGTCGAGCAATGGCGTGTCAGAGCGCAGTGAGCTAGCGTTTCATGTGTGAGTAGGCGGAATGAGCTGGTGCACATATCGACTATCTAGCTGACAAAATAAAGCAGCCAGATCGGAAAAGGCGGTCACCTACAAGTCACGCACAATCTGTCACAGCCGAGTACACAGGTATGCAGCATATACTGCACCAGCGCGCTCTAACAGCTGGCAACTAAAAGCGAAGGCTTTCGGGATCATCGACATCATGTGGCTACACATTTGCAACATGATACACGCGACTTGTTGCGACAAAGCGTCAATCTCGACCCCCAGCCACCGACACCGAGGCCGACATCGACTCCCTGCCATCGACACTGAGGCCGACATCGACCCCAGCCATCGAAACCGAGGCCGACATCGACCTCCAGCCATCGACACTGAGGCCGACATCGACCCCAGCCACCGACACTGAGGCCGACATCGACCCCAGCCATCGACACTGAGGCCGACATCGACCCCAGCCATCGACACTGAGGCCGACATCGACCCAAGCCATCGACACCGAGGCCGACATCGACCCCAGCCATCGACACTGAGACCGACATCGATCTCAGCCTCCGACACCGAGGCCGATATCGTTCCCAGCCATCGACACAGCGTCGATCTCGACCCCAGCCACCGACACCGAGGCCGACATCGACCCCAGTCACCGACAACGAGGCCGATATCATTCCCAGCCATCGACACATCGTCAATCTCGACCACAGCCATCGACACTGAGGCCGACATCGACCCCAGCCATCGACACCGAGGCCGACATCGACCCCCAGCCATCGACACCGAGGCTGAAGATTGTGCGCCGACCACCGACAAGACCATCCGCAGCCACGGACCGGGCGCCTGTGCCGGCAGCGATGCGGTTCGATCAGGTGTGGACCTGACCGGGTGTCACCTGTGACCTGAGCTCGGCTTGGCCCCGCCCGCCAGCAGCCGTCCTCGGAGGACCGACCCTCACCTGTGACCTGAGCTCGGCTGGCCCCGCCCGCCACCAGCTGTCCTCGGAGGACCGACCCTCACCTGTGACCTGAGCTCGGCTGGCCCCGCCGGCCAGCAGCCGTCCTCGGAGGACCGACCCTCACCTGTGACCTGAGCTCGGCTGGCCCCGCCGGCCAGCAGCCGTCCTCGGAGGACCGACCCTCACCTGTGACCTGAGCTCGGCTGGCCCCGCCGGCCAGCAGCCGTCCTCGGAGGACCGACCCTCACCTGTGACCTGAGCTCGGCTGGCCCCGCCGCCAGCAGCCGTCCTCGGAGGACCGACCCTCACCTGTGACCTGAGCTCGGCTGGCCCCGCCCGCCAGCAGCCGTCCTCGGAGGACCGACCCTCACCTGTGACCTGAGCTCGGCTGGCCCCGCCCGCCACCAGCTGTCCTCGGAGGACCGACCCTCACCTGTGACCTGAGCTCGGCTGGCCCCGCCCGCCACCAGCTGTCCTCGGAGGACCGACCCTCACCTGTGACCTGAGCTCGGCTGGCCCCGCCCGCCACCAGCTGTCCTCGGGACCGGCCCTCACCTGTGCACGTAGATGAGCTCGGTGACCGGCTTGCCGCCCAGCTCCGAGTGGGTGCGCAGGCCGTGGAAACTCACGAACTCGGTCGGGTCGTTCACGCCGCGGTCCTGCAGCCGCTTCAGCAGGCTGAACTGGCCCCTGCGGTCACCGACCACCGGTCACCAGTCCCCAGTCACAGGTCGCCAGATACAGGTCACATGTCACTGGTCACAGGTCACCAGTCACCGGTTACGAATCATCAGTGACGACAAGCGGCAGTCAGCGGCTGCCACAAGGGGGCCAGAAGTGAGCACACGCATGCACATGGGAACACGAACAACGCACATACCTGCGCGTACTGAATACAGGTTGCGCCTGAGACCCCGTAAATCTTCGGTCATATTCATAGCCAAGGGCTTAACGGCTTGACGCACGACAATCATACAAAATAAATAGAGCCAAAGCTCCTCCACTATTCCCAAAGAGCGTGACGCGCAACCACAAACTCACGTCCATCCTCCCACAAAACCGGCGGCCCGTCACCCGTCTCCGGGTGCGCGCCCTCGGCGGCGTCACTCACCGACAGATGGATCGAGTAGTTCCAGTGGGTGATGGCCTGGATGGCCGTGCCGCCGGCCGTGCCCAACCTGGGCCCTCGAAGCCCGGCAAGCAGCGGCGGGCACGATGGACGAACACGCGGAACTTGGAGCCGTCCCTGCCGGCGGCGGCGGCGCACGTCACCACCCACCCGCTGCAGAGTCGGGAGATGTCTGGGGCGGGGCGGAGGGTCTGGCTCGGGGTTATCTGTGGTCGGAGGAATTGTCTGTGGCCGTGGGGGGGAGGGGTTCTGTGGTCAGGGGGTGTCTATGGCCAGGGAGAGGTCTGTGGTCGGGGATGTCTGGGGCCGGGGGGATGTCTGGGGTCCGGGGGTTATCTGCGTTCGGAGGAATGTCTGTGGCCGGAGGGGAGAGGGGTCTGTGGCAATGGGGCTGGGTGGTCTATGGCCGGGGAGATGTCTGTGGTCGGGGATGTCTGTAACCGGGGGATATCTGGGGACGGGGAGATGTCGGTGGCCGGAGGGGGGGGGGGTTCTGTGGTCAGGGGTGTGTGTGTGGCCGGGGAGATGTCTGTGGCCGGGGATGTCTGTAACCTGGGGATATCTGGAGCCGAGCCAGCCGCGCTGCACGACACCGAGAGGCGGCAGAGGCCAGAGCGTCTCAGACTGGTGTGTCGGAGCCGGGCCCGTCCGCTGACGGTGGCGCAGTGGCTGCAGCCCGGCCGGCCCGGCTGACCCGGCCAGCACGGCGTCACCGCGGCGCCGGCGACACACGGAGCTGGGCCGGGCCGCATCCGCCACAGTCAGCTGGCGGCTCCGCTCAGGGTTAGTGAAACGCCGCCTCTGACGGCGGCCGAGGCGGCCATCATCCCATCTACCTGGCGCAGGGGATACCACGGGCTAAGCCATCCTCAGGTTAAAGCCAATCCTTGCTGGTGATAGACGACGGCTTGGCAAACTGGCCTACTAACCAGGGCAACATCCACACACCAGATAGCAGGCACTGGTATCCTACCTACACAAAGTATGCCATACGAGCACGTGCGGAGTTCACACCAATGCATAGCATATGTACATCAAGGATTTCGCAACCAGGAGAGTCTGCCGAAAAATCGCCGGCGAGCTAACTGTGCAAAAAATGTGGCACGCTCTCCTGATTTATATAGGAAACTTCTTGCCATAATTTTCACTCGTCGCTGTAAAAACCGTGAAGTTTGACCATGACGTGGAATCTGTGATGTTTAAGGATCACATAGCTATTTCAGAGTTGACAGCATCTCAGTTTAAAGCGCATGACTGTAGGTAGAACCAACCGCTGCCAAAAACCGAAAGTGCCAAATCGCGTGTTCAGAAGTTGTTTCGTTGAAAAGCTGCAACGTTGGAGTCCGAATCTTCTGACCATTCCAGGAAAATAACTTCGAACATATTCCGGCAGGCCAAATCCCAAAGCGGGCAAACAAGACAAGCTACAGGACAGGTCAGCTGGCCGCATCCACACTACATTAGCGCGAACAGAGCGAGCTCTCACGCTCAGACAACAGTCACCAATCGGCGACAGCTGCATGCGGAGTGTGCACAGCGTTTGCAGGGCGGGTGGCGCGGAGAGTGCGACCAGCGCCGCGGGCGCCGACGCCGCGACGGGCCAAGCCGGTGCGAGGTGCATCAGTGATCTGTGACGATCCTGACACGGCACGGTGATGCGATGGGGGTGCACGGCTGCGGGGAATGCGACGGCGGCCAAAGGGTCTACAGAGACGGAGCGGAGCGTGCGGCAGCGGCGGACAGCTGGGCACGGTGCGGAGACGGGCCGTCTCCCAGGCGAGACGAGACGAGAGTGTCGGCCACTTACTTCTCTTGACGACTGGACCGCCGCACCGAGTCAACGGTCAGTGCAAGGCCACACACGCACGGCTACAGGCTAACACACGGCGGACGAACCGAAAAAATGTGGTGGTCAGTCACGTGACATTGCAAACGCGCTCATCTAACGAAAAGTGCTAAGGACACGCACAAAAATTGGGCAGCACAAAGAGGTGCGTGAAAATTGCCGCCACTGCGTTCAATGCAGGGGCCGACGGGCAGGAACGGCGCCCGATGCTGGGAGCACGGCGAGCACGCGCACAGCGCACACGCACACGCAGCACAGTAGAGGCACAGACGGGCCGACTCACGGTACCCGCCGGGCGCCGGCCACCTACCCCGCGACCGTCCCTGGCAGGGGGCCCGGCGCGGGTCAGTGAGCGCACGCGGCACATAGCCACAACGGCAACCCGGTGGCAACGCGGAGACTCCGCCAGACGGACGGCGACACCGTGCCAGCCAACAGACGCATTGAGAGAGGGACAGAGCAGCCTTTAACTGGTGTGGTACACCAGGCCTCGTCTTACCAGTTTTGCCAATTTGTTTAAATTTGACCAATTCGGTCGATCCACACCGCTCGTTCGTCTACTGCAGCCGCTACGGCAGCGCTCAGTGTTGCCAGAGAGGCGTGATCATCCCAGCAGATGATTATGCGCGCAACTCTCACGTCAAAATAATAGCGCCATCGCCAATGGCCTTCTAGTCGCTGATCATATACTCCTCAGCATCTACGCCCCGAGACAAATCCGTCCTGAATTGAATTACGTGGGCCGACTGATATGTGAACCTGCAAGAGCCGCGTGACACAAGGCACCGATCATGCGCCTCCATGCTCAACATATAATTTGGACGTTCGCTCCACACACATTTGCCTCACAACACCTACGCAGCACACCCTTGTTTGCCTGCCGCCAGCACCAACGCCTCCCCCCCCCCCCTCCCCCCCCCCCCCCCCAGCGAGCGGACGCGGCTCTGCCGACAGCCCTGGCTGGCACGTACTTGTGCGCACGCAGGATGCGCTGGAAGAGCGCCTCACACACGCGGTTGCTGACGTCGGCGTTGATGCCGCAGAGCGAGATGAAGAACTGGTTCTCGATGTAGATGTAGTGTCGCGCGCGGCTGATCAGGTCGACGTACGCCTGCTGGATCGAGTCCTCCGTGTCCTTGATGCCGGCCGACCACTGTGAGGCGCTTCGCACGATCTGGCACGAGCGGAGAGACTGCGTCGGAGGCGTCCATGAGACCCCCAGCAGGACGCCACACCACAGCTGGCGTCACACGACACGACAGTGACTGCTGAAACGTCACCGAAAACCACACGGTGAGGAGGACCCCATCGGTTTGGGGGGCTGGGTTAACCAGCAATTCCTCACGCGGGACAACAGCGACAGCAGAACTGGCGGGTGCCACACCGCCCAGCTCAGCGCCCGCCTCCTCACCTGACACTTGTCTTGTAGCTGGGCGTCGAGAGCACCCTCCGGTATGGAGTCGCACGTCTGGTAGCCCTTGGGCAGCAGGAACTCGTAGTCCATGTTGAAGAGCGCAGCTTCTCCACCTATCCGGGGGGGGGGAGGGGGGCGGGCGGGTCAGTCACCCCGCCGGCCGGACTCAGACGCGCCGGCACATCGGAGGGGACGCCGCGCCGCCGCCAGCCGATGACTGGCTGACCGACAAACGGTCCCACGCTCTCAAACGGAACTATCGTGGTTCCACGCTCCGGCAGCAGGCGTTCCAACAGAAAGATGTATGGGTGATGATGCAAGATGCATGACGCGCCGCAGCTTAGCGGCATGCCGGATTAGTCACGACGCTCCAACACCCAAACCATCGCCATCATTGTCACATCGTATCATCATAGGGAACAAGAACAGGAAGCACGCCCAGCCACCTCACACAAGCGCACGTGTCACTCGACCTTCGCCCAGTGCACGCACACGGCGCGCCTGACCTTGACAGCGTTCCAGCGCTGGATGAAGTGGCGCGCCACGTCGCGCGCAGCCGAGCCCACCACGCCCGTGGAGATGTCGTGCCAGGGCATCCTGGGCACTGAGCGGCGGTCGATCTGGTCTGCCGACAGCGACGCAGCGCTCGTCAGAGGGCGCCACACGGCCAGGCCGGCACCGCCGGCATCGGAGCGACGCCCGCCACACGGCCGGACCCGGCACCGCCGGCACTGGAGCAACGCCCGCCACACGGCCGGAGCCGGCACTGCTGGCACCGGAGCGACGCCCGCCACATGGCCAGACCGGCAACGTCTGGCACCGGAGGTATCCTTTGAGTGAATGGATTTCTGATGTCGGGGCCACATAACCCGTCCTTATTATGAGCCCTATCTCCACCATCCGATCGTAAAATCCGGATTAACGACGGCACCTGCGGCGCAAGTTTCACATGTCAAAATGCTTGGAATGGCCCCGTCCTACCCTCTGCCGTACTCGACACGCGGCGGCCGCCGGCCGCCGCCACCAGCCGCAGGCCATCCCAGTTGGTTGTTAAAAAAAAAATCATTCGAGCAGAGTCAAGGGCAAATAGCGAGCGCTTGTAGCGACTGGAGGCAATCACACCAGATTGAGGGTTAACCCACAAACAGGTGCCATAACCAGCGGGGCCACCGGACGGACGATGCTTGATTTCATCGAATCACATCAAGTGTTCATTTCTCGTCACGCACTTGAAAAACGCCTTCCGCCAGACGCTACTGATTACCTAAAGGAGAAATGGTCCGCCTATTGTCCCATGACATCAGAAGTAGAACGTGGGCTTGCCAACACACACAGAGGTCATCAGGTCACACAGGGCTTCTGGACCAAGTCCCGGAGCATACCCATGAACGGGGCGTCCAGCGCGCTGAAGTCCTGACGATGAAGTTTGGTGTAGTCCTTGCCGAACCACAGCTAGCGTGAGCTTCTTGACACGGTTGGCGTCCACCCTGCGGCAATAATGTCGTGAAAAGGTAATATTTTCGAGAATAAAGACGGAGATTACACTGAGGAAGAAATGTGCAAAAAAGCCACGACGGGCAGTCAGCCATAACCCCGAGAAAAGTATTGCAACTGCAAAATCCCATTTAATCACATTATTTCCACCAAACAATTGAGGAGTTAATCGAATCTGACATTGCTTGACACTAGGATGACCACAGAGCAAGCTTCACAACACGCCCACCCCACAACGGAAATCGCCCAGTACCCAGACAACACGATCCACCATTACATAAACCATTGACTGTTTACCATTCGTTAGAAGCAGGCGTCCTAAAACAGCAGCTTTTGTCCGCTCGAATGTGTGGGGGTGTGCTGTGCGTGCGTGCGTGCATGCGTGGCGTGCATGCATGCATGCATGCATACATGCGTGCGTGCATACGTGCGTGTGTGCGGGCGCTGGCGCTTACGTGCACGTGTGTATGCGTATGCGTGCGCGTACGTGTGCGTGTGCATGCGTGTGTGTGGGTGTGTGCGTGGTTGTAGTGTATGTGCGCTCGACTCCCGGTGATAAGAAGTGGGGCAACAAAGCATCAACCACATGTCTGCAAAACCGGAGCATGGAAAACCGCCCGTGCCCAGACAAAACTAAAAGCCCAGCCAGGCTGATTGGGTCTGGCTTAGCGGATAGACGAAAATGGACCGAACGAGTTACATTCGCCTTTGTTCGCAGAACTGGGGCTGACGTAACTCGTCAGACATATAGACGGAGACGAGCGCGGCGCTACTGTCTGTGGTCTGCCGCCGCTGACCGGTGTCGGGCGGCCACGTCACGACCACACGCTGCTGCTCGGCGAGAGGCCGACTGTCGGCGCCGGCGCCCCGCGGCACGACAGGACGCGTGGGGACGGTGTGTGGGGCACAGCTCCCACTGCACGCCTGTCAAGAACAGCCCGCACTGCAAACCCCGGCCGACCAGTGCCAGTCCTGGCCGTCCGCACAAGGGTGAACGTGCAGGTAAACACCATCCTGCGACCAATACGTGCAGTAAGGACCACTACACGCATGCGGCTAACGCCACGCACGATATTCGATTCATTGATACAGCGCGGAGAACATTTTAAGTTCTCGTTTCTACTACGGAAGCGACTAAACATCTTCAGGCCCATAGTTCCGCGGAGGACCCTGTACCTGCCTGGTCTGCAGTATCGACGATGGAGGCCCAACGCAGCAGGACCTCGTTCATATCTAGTCAAGTGGACTGCAGAATCCGGTGCAGATTATGGGCTGTCAGCTGTTTTTGGCCACAGGTTGCCACATCGTTAACCTCGCAGGGCAGGCAAACCGCGATTGAGAAGCGCCAAAAGTATCACCTCTCTACTCCACAACAGCTCACGACTGTAGGATGTGCTGCGCATTACGCAGACTTCAGCTGCTGCGGATGAGATGGAGCCACTTTCGAGCTCTTTTTGTCTGCGCTTCGCGAGACCCCCGGGCTTCAACGTGGAGCCCTAAGCCGCAAACAGTGGACCGTCAGAATTCGCAGCGGATTCTGTAGCACAGTCCGCAAGACGCGAACCGGGTCAGTGTTTTCGTACTTGTCAACACAGCGGACGATTCCGCCTCAATAAATGCCCGCGGAGGGTACCTTCGTGCCGCCCAACTTCAACGAACGCCCCAGAGCGGCCCAACAACGCCACAGTGACGGGGAACGACACGCACCGCGTACAGTCACATGTTCCGTCGCTATAGCAGAACGATCGGAGAGCCCAGACGGACAGCACGAGCCACGAGGCGCCGGGGAAGCGTCAGCAGAGCCTCCGACAGCATCCCGCCCCGCGCCATTGTTACCTCAGCAATACCGCCACCTCAGGACAGCTATGTTCGGTGGCTGGACTCACGCCAGCCAGCACACAGCGCCGGCTACGGTGTCCGCATCTACCGAGAGTCTGGTTAGCCGGCAGCCTGTTAGCTTGACTCCTGCGACTCTGACTCGCACTGTCACGATACGGCTCAACGCTCGTAATGGATAGTTAATACGTGTTCTGAGCTCTTGATTCGTCGTTCCGTCGGCTGTCGCAAATACGAACAAAATGTATTTGAGCACATTGCCTTCAAGTGCGGGTAACGTCACGTCGTCCGGACCATGACGATGAACTTACAGGCATTGCAAAAGGAACCGCTTTTAAGCAGTATGTGTTCGCGACAGCCATGCTGTCACAAATAACGAGTCACCCAGATGCCACGCGGATTGCTTGGCAGCCCTTTCATGCTATTAGCGACAGCATTGCGCCGTTTGCGGACGTGGTTTACCCGTATCGAAAATCGATCTACTCCGTGTAAGGTCTCACTGCAGGGCCAGCTAACCAAATGTTTAACATTCATTTCTCGCGGCGACTAGGAAGGGGAGATGCTACAACATATTCGGCTTTCTTCAATTACAGCTTTTCCTTCTTTGGCACCGTAGCAGACTTAAAGTATAACGCATGTGCGAACTATTTCTGCCACCAATTCTCTACCACCATTCCTTCGACTGCTGACAATTTAAACGCGGTAAGGTTTTCACCAGCGCTGCGACAATGCAACGTTGCACTCTACTTACTTCATCTGCTGCCCTACATCGACATCTCTTTTCAGTTACTAGCGAGGCGCACACAAGCTATCACATGCACTTGCTCCCGGCCCATTATTCGTCCCCTCCCCACTTCACTATTCCTTCACTGGCATCCCCTGCCGTCCCTTTTTGCGCATTACCATCGTTCGTCGTCCAAATTCACTCATTACCATTGCCCGCCGTTTCACTCACTCATCGCCACCCCCTGTCGTTTTCACTCACTAATCCCCATCGCCCACCGTCCTCACTCAATGCTATCCCTTCTGTCCTCACTCACTCATCGCCATTCTTTGCCGTCCTCACTCACTCACCGTCATTCCCTGCCGTCCTCACTCACTAATCGCCATCGCCTGCCGTCTCACCCTTTCAACGTTATCCCCTGCCGTCCTCACTCACTCATCGCCATCCCCTACCGTCCTCACTCCCTTGTTTCCATCTCCTGCCGTCCTCACTCCCTCGTTACCATCCCTTGCCGTCCTCACTCCCTCGTTACCCCCCTGCCGTGGTCACTCCCTCCCCTCTCGTCCTCACCCCCTCGTTACCATCGCCCGCCGTCCTCACTCACTCGTCGAGCATGCCGGCCTCGGCGGCGACCACGGCTGCGGTGACTGGAGCCGCCTGTGCCTGCGGCGCCTTCTCGGCCACCACGGCCTCCTCGGCGGCGGCGGCCGGGCCGTCCTCACCCTCCGCATCGCTGCTGCCCGCGCACGCGGCACGAGCGTCACCGCAGCGCCGACGGCCGCACGACACGAGCGGCGGCGCGCAATGACCCACGCCGGGCCACGGCGGCCTGGTCTCGGCGACGGGCGAGGCGAGCACCCGGAGGTCAGTCGTGTGGAAGGAGGACATTGTTTGCCATGGGTGGTTCACGTGAGCTTCAACACACGATAGGCAATCAAGTTGGGCGGAGTTTATTACACGAGCGCAACATTGGTGACATTGGTGTGAACGAGATTAACAGAGCAAGCATTTATTTACGAGAGGAAAAGCAAAGCCCAAGCGGATAGCCGTGCCAGGCTTTCGAATGAGGATATGTAAGATCCCATGATAGTAAAGAGCTGAAGCAACGCCCGGCCCGCCGACGAAATCTTAACCTGAAACGGAAAGAACGCAGCATAAGTCACGCAAACCCAAGCTCATCCATGGCCAAATCCGTGCCAGCTACTACGCCTACCAAACGCAGGCCACCAGACCGCACAACAAGCATGCGACCCACAAAAACTGAGCCGAACGAACTCGTGCTTCCTGCTGGTTGTCGATAGATTGGCAGCACCTGATCCAGTCGGGCGGGGACGATGGCGTCCTGACTGCCAGGCCCGGAGCGATCCGTAGTCGCCGCGTGTCGACCTAGAGCGCAGGGGCACGCGCACATACGGACGGTCACATTACGGTGTCGATTGCGGCCAGCCCCATCCCCGCCCCTCCGCCATCCCAAGACCAGCCGGAGGCAAGCCGGTTACTCAGCGGGCCCGCTAACAAGACCTGAGAAAACGTGATATTTTGTGGAGACGGTCGTCAATTACCGTCAATCAGACGAAAGCCCCACGGTGGCATCTCTGGTGATGTGGGAATTCGCTGTTAAACACAGCGTGTGCTGTGATGCGACAGACCGTTCAAAACAAAGCTTCCTAGTGGACATATGTTTCGCTTTTACGCTTTGTCTTCAGCCGTAACGCTATTGGTTACCATCCTGGAAGCTAGAGTGCTAGCCGGGAGCATTCAGCGCTCATTCCACCGTGCTAGAACCAACACTTAACATGACTTTTACAGCGTACGAATACAACCTCAAGGCAAGACAGGTGTAATGCGATTTGAAAAGAGCATGCCCTAAGTTTCACAAATACCAACTCACGAAACATTTTAGGTAGGCCGCCACCCCTTTCAGTCAGACGATGTGTCTATGCTATGTTATATGTCTTTCCATACGTAACACCATTCCGCATTCCAATTTTTAGTGCAGGAGAGCAAAATAAGCTCTCGAGAAACAACGGCACGCTCCTGTGACTCCGAACAAAAAGTGGTGGAACAATCTCACGGATTTGCGTGGCCTCGCTTTAGCCTTAGCCGCCGGACCCCAATCAATTTCCCACAGCCTCCGATAGGGGGAAAATGGTTAATTTTCCGCCATGTATCGTACACTTCTAATGCCGTGTCTTACTCAATACGGGTCTATATGACGGCAGGTAGAAACCTTCCCGAATAAGCAAATGAATTAATCGCAATGCAAAACTACCTCGTGACGTTATCTTGTCATGTTTCACTGTTCATGCTTGCACTTGTGCGGCGAATCCGATGTCCAACAGGTGTGTTTCATTACAGTGTCCAATTTTCTGGATATGATTTATCGTGGCGCAACGTAACCAACCATGTACGCATGCTGAGAATATCCATAGATTCGAAACAGTGGCATGACCAGTTCTCCACGCCCCATGTCCCATCCATGTCCACCCATGGTCTTCACGTCCACCCCCAGAATCAGTCTCATCCGTCGCTTTGAGCTATACATATTGCATTGGTTTTGAGCTTCATTTAAATAACCGGCCGACGATTTTAAAATGCTGTGAATCGCTTCGCGGTCACGTGTGGTTTTAGACAGCAGGCGATGATATTGGCCGTTACATGCAGGTACGTGTGTAGGCAGGATGGGGTGACAATCCCCTTACTATAAAAAAGGCATTGGGGTCATTGGACTATCAGAAAACATGTGTCAACAATTTTGTCGCCATAATATCCCACATAATATATATATATATATATATATATATATATATATATATATATATATATATAATATATTATGGACAACATTTATTGGGTTCCCAGAACACAAATGAAGCATGGCTAGATTGAAGTTTAATACCAAAAACGTCTCCTGTAAAGCTGCGACTACTGATGATGGAGCGAGTCCAACGGTGCCACACCAAAACCCATGCCCAGATGAGCAGTGTAGCACCCTTGAGGTTCTTCAGCGTAGCTTTTTTAAACGAATAAAGATGCCTTCCTTCCAGCCAACTTCATCGGACTGGAAGAGGACCAGTCCGTCCGAGTACGACGCAGGATCCATCAGCGCGAATGCCCCCTCCGTGGCACCCGAAGGACTTGAAGACCCTAGCGTTCCCGACGATTCCTAACCCCATACTAATGGCGGGAGCCGCAGAGCACGAAAACGCGATCGAGCTTGCTCGACGGCGCCCATAACTCTGTGACATAGAACACGTTTCAAACAGCTGATTATTTCAGTCCACATTTGCCTTAGACAGAGCACGAATATGCATCTTGTTTCTTGACGGTCCCACTTGATCGATTATTCATTTCCGATAGTTCTTTAGCCATATTCGACACGTAGAGCAAGCCATGGCACTGCAAACGCATGAGACTTATCACAGATTTCGCTCATTATCTTGCCTGAGATCACGGTTACTGGATCCAAGGCTACTAAAGAAAGCTACGCAGACGTGACGTCACCATGGGACTAAAATTTGGTAGCCCGCAATATCGTTTCTTGTTAATGCTACGAAAGGTTGGTCGGTACCCGCCAGGTTATTAAAAAACGGAGACCCTTGACAATGAACTTGATAGCGACCTTGTTTCACATCTTTATTGTAATGTCACAAGAAAACATGTCATTTTGTATTTCAACCTTTCTGAAGACAAATTAATCCTAGGATCTGATTCCAACAATAAATCCTACTAAACTACATTTTCTACTTCCAGCACCCGCGCCCTATTCGTCGGGGCCAACGCGCATGAATGCGTTTTAATGCGCAAAGCGTTTTGTAAAAAGCAACATTCATACGTAAATAAACACATATCATACGTAAAACTTACACTAAAATTAAGTTAATGACAATGATTGTGCATATGCTTCGTGTTGCGGCAACATAAATGGAGTGAAATGTGAAAATAAGGTAATGGGAGGAAGGGTGGGCACCAATAATTCGCTGTTGCTGTGCTGTGATCCTCCTAGGTGTTGATTGACTTGCTGATGTATACCGTTGGATGAGTTTACATGCAAATCTGTGCGCAAACAACAATACCCCACTGCCACTAAAATATCCCGATTAAACTACTCAGAGATAATACGGGGCCTCGACTTTTTGACTGGCAGAAAATTGCAAAACTTGCCAGAAGTCGGTCCATCTAACAGGAAAATTTTGCTATCCTGACTGAAATGGCGCGCTTGTATTTAAGCACCCCCTTCCCTCCCCCCGAGGTTCACCCGCTCATTACCCCCCCCCCCCCCCATAAGGGTAGGCCAACCCTGCATCCACCCCGACAAACTACTCCCCTTAGGGCTACAGGGTGTGCGCTCCAATGCGCGTCCCAGGGTGCTACGAGCCTGTCTGGCCCGCCGTATCTCATCTCCATCCTATGTTTGTTGCTGCTTTTGTATGATGTTCTGTTTTACACGGACTGTTTCTAAGCACTTCCGCTAGAGTTCCTCGGGATAAACCACTGGTGAATGGGTAACCACCAGCTGTCTGCCAGGGGCAGGCTAGAAGCGCATTTCAGCAATAATTGCTAGGCTCTGGTGCAAACCAAGATAATTTCCCAGCCGACAATTTTTCATTGAGTGTGCTAGGTCGAAACAAATTCAGCTTATGGAGATATATGTGTTTAAACCAACTCACAAAGAACAGCGTTTTACGTCACCATAGCGCTGATGCCATATGACTTTAGTTCCATACTGACGTCACAGCACTGCTACCCCAGAATGCAGTAATGTGGGGCTTGACTGAATCTACCTGAGATGCGCGATGATAGATCGGGGTCCGGCAAGCTATATGCTAATGGCGCAACCGGATCTATAAACCACGTGGGATTTGCGTCAGGATCGCTTCCATGTCTTTGAACCACGACAGTGACATTAATCAGTCCATTACTGAAGAAACTAACTGTTAGTTGTTCGCATTTTCAAATGCTGGTATCTCTCAAAAAGCAGCGCTGCAGCTTTGGTTCCGGCACAAACACAGCATAACCCAAACTTGGACGTTTAGCTGCGACGGCGTTCGACCGGTAACCACATCTCAAAACCCGTCTGCCTGACAGGCTACGCCGCCGCCTGTTAACTGCGCAGCACGTGACGTCGGCGCTCGGATGCGGCCCACCACGATCGATCACCCGCGCGTAACAGCAGCGTGTCCGAAATTCGCCTCCGGGTGTCGCCTCCAAGGGCCGTCCACCGCTCACGTGGACTCGGCCCGTGCCTGTGACAGCGGCGACATCCGGCCGCAGTGGCCGACACACCGCGCTCGGCGCCCGCTGTGGTCCCAGTTAAGATTGTCCCAATAGCACGGCCTGTACATGGCAGGATACCGCCGCGTCACGAATGCTAGGCAGGTGCACTGCAGGAGTGCCTGAATATAAGCAGCAGTATGCGTGGAATGAGACACTTTCCACAGTGAACAGGTTGCATTTTGGTCCTGCTTTTCACACACTGCTGAAGTAGGTGCCCCAGTTCCTCTGCCATATACATACACATCTTCACGGGACTACTGCTTTGCAACTATGTGCTGTGCGTTAACACCACTTCTAAGCGTGCTTAGAGTACACGACGCCACATAATGTCACGTGCTTCCGATGCATGGCGGCGCGGCCGGTGCGTCCAGTGACGTCAGCGACGCCGCGGCCCGCTCGGGTCACGCAACCTTTGGCATGCCGCTAGCGGTCGACGGCGGTGCGCGGCGTGCCCGCGCCCGCGCCATGCACTGGCCGTGTCAGGGGCCGCGTGAGGCGGCCAACGCTCGTGCTCCCGCCCTGGCGGCGGCAGCCGCACCGGACACTCACACGGAGGCTGCCGAGAGAGCCGCCGCCGCTGCCGCCGCAGCCTGGCGGCACACGGCGCCGTCAGACAGGCGGCCGGCCGCCGGCGCCATGCGCCCGTCACGGCCGCACGCCGCGCCGCCGGCAGCGGCTGCGGCCGCCGAGGGTCGGCCGGAGGCACCACGGGTCGACAGTCGCCGTCGGCATCCGGGGTGGACGCGGCTCCACCCACTCCGTCGCACGCTCGACAGCTCGGGGCACGAACGACACGCATCCGCGTCCCTTGCACCCCCCCCCGCGGAGTTAGTCGCACGTGCGTGTCCGCACCACACCGGCTGACCAGCCGCTGCTAGACATGCCGCTGCCGCTGACACCGTCTTCGAGCAGCTCGTGTTAGTGCTGCGACGCCGCCTGTTCTGCCATCCTGCAGCGGCCCACCCCGCCCGCCCAGCCTTACCTGTGCAGATGGCGGCGGCTGCGGTCGGCGATCCCGTGCGACCACACGCTGGCCACCTCGCGCATGCGCACCATGTTGCGCATGATACGCCGCCGGTGCGTCGGCGGCGTCTCGCCTTTCATCGGCAGCTCTTCGTCCGGCTCTCCGTGCTCGGAGCCGTCGCCATCCTGGGGCCAGCGCCGCGTCCACCACATCTCCGGACATGACGCTGCAATCGTCGCCGGCGGGGCGCGCGTCAGGCGCGGCACGCCGCCGGGGCCGGCCATGGTCGAGGCCGGTCACGGCCCGGGACGCGTGCACAGGCCACCAACACCGGGCGGACACGGGCGGACGGGACAGCTGGCGGAGCGGGGCGGTAGCCACGGACCGTTAACCGGGCTTACTTCGCGGGATAGGTTATGTGAATTGGACGGCCATTATGCGGATCCCCACACCGAGCTGTCCTGACAACAGAGTGTTTGATTAAATCGCTCCAGCCAAAGGGAATAATCAGGAAAGTGAATATACGGAACTTGAAGTTCGAGATAAACTAGAAATGGGTGATAAAAATGTACCGGGAAAATGCAGCAAATTTCGCAAAATCAAATGAAATGCAAAATTCGGGACGTCCTTTCAGCATGGCCTCGCCATACTTCAACGGTAAGATTGAGGGTAAACATGACAGACTCTGCTCGAGACAGGCACACCTTGGATCAGTAGGACGGCTTCCAGTACAGGATGAGAGGACAAATGGACGCATCACATGGCACGTCTAGAAACACATCTATGACTGAAGTCATGCTCACCAAAATATAGCAAACCCGAACACATCACCCTTTACGGAGGTCATACGCTCCAAGGGTGCTGGCAGTGCCGTCGACGGGAATGGGAGGGGACAGGGAGCCGTGGAACATGTCAGCATCAAAGGGGCACGACATGAGCCAGTCAGCTTAGCCCCGACGATCGAGGGAACAAGGGAAGGGAACATATTGCTGAAAATTGGGAGGGAGCATGTGTGTATGATGTGGAAGATGTCTGATTATAGAGCGCCTCAATCGGGAGATGAGGTGGAATGTAGAAAAAGGAGAAAGACAGGGGGGGGGGAGGAGGGAAACGTAACAAAACATACTTACTACTACTGCGGTTGCATCTCCACAGGGAGCTCTTTGGCCTGGAAGAGGGGAGCGGCACTATCAGTCACCAGCTCGCATCAGCTCCAGTACAGCGCGCACATCGGCATGACCCATCATAACACGCTCAGGAAAACGAATGCGATGGATATCCGAGGAGTCTGCACAGCCCTTTGTTATCTTATCTTTCTTCGCATCTATCTTCGTGCATGCTATCCTGATTTCACTCGGTCTACAGCAACGTGTGACAGTCAGTCAGGCCACCATTACGCGTCTTAGTGTCTTCACAGCGTGTCACATTACCGTCACACGCTTTGACATGGCAAACGCCACTGATCTCGGTGGTGGTGTACAGGGCACCGTTTCTCCTTCCCCCCCCCCCCCCCCCCCGTTTTGACATGGGAAACACCACTAATCTCGGTGGTGGTGTACAAGGCACCGTTCGCTGCCCCCCCCCCCCCCTCCCGTTTTTACAATGGAAACGTCGCTGATCTCGTTGGTGGCGTACAAGGCACGGTCTCCCCCCCCCCCCCCCCCCAGCGCGCAGGCCGCCCCTGACAGGCTCCGGGCCAGGCCGGCCAAAACTGCCAGACCCGGCCCCCGTCTGCCCAGGAGACGCCACGGACGGCGGTTCTCAGCGGCGGCGCCCGGGCCCAGACCGCACAGCACGGCTCCCCAGCCTCGCCCCCACTCCAAGCACGGACGGCGGCGGCGGCCCACCTGCTCGGCGTTGGTGACAGTGCCGATTGTGACCATGTTGGTGCCCTGCGCCAGCGCCAGCAGCGTGTGTGGCAGCTGAGAGCCGGCCGGCGTGCTGGAGGTGACCGGCGCCTGGAAGTGGCCGGCCCGCTCCAGGTCCGCCACGCTGCCCAGGTCGGTCAGCCTGCCGGTGGACACAGGGGGGCGGGGCGTGATACCAGCGGCATCGGGGCTCTCAGAAGATGCGAGTCTAATGCCACGATAGGACACGACAAACATTAACACGCTACTCTGCTGCAATCATGGCTTTCGAAAGAAAAAAAAGGAACAATTGGTCGCTCAATTCCCGTCTAAATCACGAATTTGTCATGATGCCACCAACAGACCTACAAGCACCCCAACCAAAAAGAGATTTCGAGCACATGGAAGAAACTATAATATCGTTTAATGCGCGGTAAGATGTTAAGTTTGTGAGTATATCTATTGAGATGAAACACAGGCTGTAAAAACAAACTATTTTGAGTAAATATAGAAACAGTAGGCTTGAGCAAAACACAACAAAACAAAAATAAGTCAAAGGCTCTTTGTTCTTCTCCAGTTCTAAAGCAACTTCTTCTGTCTAATGCCGAAGCTATAGAGCAGCCAATGTGTCGACGTGACCCTGACAGAACCGGGCCTGTTTACGCTCACGCTGTCTGTGCGCCGGCCGCCGCCAGGGGACACCCAGACACCAGGCGTCGGTGCAGCCAGCCCCCGCGGTGCCGGCCGCCGCCCGGGACACCCGGACACCAGGCGTCAGTGCGCCGGTTCCAGCGGCCCCTGCCACCGCCCGGATACCCGGACACCAGGCGTCGGTGCAGGCCAGCCCACAGTGGTGCCGGCCGCCGGCCGCCGCCCTGGACACCCGGACACCAGGCGCCAGTGCGCCGGTTCCAGCGGCCCCCGCCGCGCCCGGGACACCCGGACACCAGGCGTCGGTGCAGCCAGCCCCAGGTGCCGGCCGCCGCCGCCGCCCGGGACACCCGGACACCAGGCGCCAGTGCGCCGGTTCCAGCGGCCCCCGCCGCCGCAGAGACACCCGGACACCAGGCGTCGGTGCGGTCAGCCCGGCGGTGCCGGCCGCCGCCCGGGACACCCGGACACCAGGCGTCGGTGCGCCGGTTCCAGCGGCCCCCGCCGCCGCCAGGGACACCCGACACCAGGCGCGGTGCGGTCAGCCCCGGCGCCGGCGCCGCCCGGGACACCCGGACACCAGGCGCCAGTGCGCCGGTTCCAGCGGCCCCCGCCGCCGCCAGGGACACCCGGCCACACCAGGCTCGGTGCAGCCAGCCCCAGCGGTGCCGGCCGCCTCCATCGCCGCTCACCGATGGAAGAAGTCGTCCCAGCGGCCGTAGCAAAGGTCGATGCCGCCCACGAAGGCATAGTTCTGGTCCACACACCACCCGCTTCTCGTGGTGGGCCCAGAACCAGCACGGCCGAGCTGGCGTGATCCGGGTGACGCATCACCTGGCGGCAAACAAAACTTGCCAACATCGCCAGCATAAGGACAAGCATAGCCCCTAAAACCACTTCACACCGTAGCTAAGTGCACGTATCGCAGCAAACTCAGTAACATACACAAAACTTACGTAAGGCCAAATTTGGACTTTTGTGACATCACGTCACAGGACGAACAACGACTGAAAAAACAGGCCGAGCGGCAAGACGCGTCACAGGAACCTCAGACAGGACATCGCCGATAAACTAAGACAGACTTGGGACGGGAACACTTACGAAGGTGGGCACCAAGCTGTACTTAAGAAGGGTACACCAGCTGTCATGTTTGCACATGCTGATGAACACCAAACATTAATAACCCCACTATATTAGACAGATACTCCCCCCCCCCCCCACATACACGCATCATTAACACTGGTAGGACACTCAGAAATTCCAGAACCCTAATGCTATCTGAGAACAGAACATCTTTCCAATGATCAATCACACTACACGCCACAACATATGGACCAAATATCTGAAAAACTCCGCGCACAGATATCACGCAAGAAATCAAAGAACTTGCAACAGATCTGATCGGCACGGACACACCTCCATACTTCTCATACGGGATCAACATTCGGAAGCATCTACCAAACCCAAATAAGGACCGGGGCTTCCCTGTCCACGCATTTGTCTTTCCGATTCAAAAGTTTCCAGTTCCTCGTGTCTGCGGCAACAGCTCCGAAACAATTTTCTTTCCATCCTCTTTTGCCCACTATTTCGACGCCGCAGACGCAATCTCTTCCAGCATTTCACACAGATATTAGGTCCCTGTTTCGATTAACTCCGAACACCGACACCATACATGCACTAATGTACGGAATAAACGTCAGCAGCCAGGACGGTCGGGTGCTTGCGGCGTGTTTCCAGAACCATATCATTAAAAACGCTACAACTGCGACGGGAGGCGACGGCGACGGCGACGGCTGGCGCTGGGGCGGAGGCTAGTTGTTGAAATGGCACGTGAGGCGGCTGTTTTCTGTCTTCCTTCTTTTGAGAGGCGCCCCGATATGGGTCTTATGACTTCTACATTAATCCTCTTCATTTGGGCATGAATGCGTGAATGACTAAGCACCAGTCATGAATCCCTTCATGTAAGTATATTATGTCATATCTGTGTATATTTACAACGTGCATCATACAAATGCACTGCATATGCACATTCCCCCACAAACGCAAGAAGTATATCTATGTTATCGTACCGTTTTTTCACTTCTTGAAACAACATAAAACCAAAGGAACACACAAACACATGTGTGACGTTACTGGCCGGCTCAGCCAGCCGGATTGGTTCCCGATCTCGGATGTGCAGCCACGGCCCGTTACGTGTACAGGGCGGCAGGCAGAGCGCAGTGCGGCCGGCTGCCCCTCCCCCCTCCCCCCCCCGCGCGCGCACCAGGAGACGGGGACAGTGCTGACGAGCTGACCTGCAGCACCACCTGACGCCTACCTTGATGTTGTCGTGCTGCATCAGCTTCTGCTTGCTGTAGAAGCTGTTGATGCCCAGCGCCATCTCCACCTCTTTGTACAGCATCACGTACACCTTAATGCCTTGTTTCTGCAAGACGAGGACAATGCTGGATGGTTGATAAAGATTACGTGGGACGTCCAGGACAGCAACGCTGTGCCAGCCTTACACAACATATCCGTTAGAATACGACTGCCGAGCATGTGGACCAGGTGCAAAAGGAACCCCCGTGAAGTCAACAGCAGAAATGCTGACGATCATCTGGGCTTACCGACGCTTCACTTACTGGGTGACTTCGGCCACGAGTACTGACACTACTAATGCCACACGGAGCCCTCCCCAGCAAGGCCCTCTCCCACCACGTGCCGGCTTCAGGAGCTCCCTGGTCCACCACGCCTCGGGCGGTGCGATAGGCCGACCCCAGCCCTGGCCACGTACCGCCTTCCTGAGCAGGACCTGGTCGAGCCGCCAGTACTCGGAGTCGAGCGCCTGCCCGCTTGAGGAAGATCTCCGGGCTGAGCCACCAGTCGGTGATGAAGATCTCCTCACGAGCCGCCTCCAGCGTGTCGGCCACGTCGCGGAAGTACGTGCTGCCGTCCACGTACCAGCGAGAGCGGCAGGAGCACCTCGCGCACCGGCGCGAACGACTTCGTACCGGTTCGCCTCGACGAACTCCTTGCCTGCATTGCGCGGGCGGGACGTCATATGAGATGGAGTTGGGGCGGGGGACTCTAGGGGCGGCCGGAGCGTGACCGGAAGGCGGCCACAGGGGTGGCGACGCGACCAGCCGCCCGAGGCGCGGTGAAAGCCATGGTACGGGGACGTCAAATAAAAAATCAACTCCGAGACGAGCGTCTGGTGAGCAGGCAAACAGGGCAAACCAAGGCCGAGCCGGAGCTCAAGCGGCGGCGGCGGCGGCCGACCCATCGACCGTCTGCCGACCGACCAGGTCAAGGAGGACCAATTGAACGATGGCCTCGATCCAGAGCTCGTCCATTCAGAAGACTGTTTCTCCGTTCCGTTCCTGTTAACTTCTACAAGGCTTTTGAAACGACCTTATGATGACACAATGCTTGGAATTTGTGGTAGGGACAGAGCATCCTTGGTGCACAGGCGATTCAGTATGCCATCGCATACATTACAACATAACAGCGGAAATATGTGGTGCTTTGCAACAGTTTTCAAAGTTTACATTTTCGTCTTTTACCTCCTTACAAAACCAAGTTTTTACACTCACATCCTGACAGGAATGTTACTTTTAAGTCAATTGGCTCATATTAGTCATAATTATAACGTGTTATATAACACATATAATATAACATATAACATATCATATAGCATATTAGTCATAAATAAGTCAATTTAAGTCAATGGGTAGGCTCAGCCGATGAGATAGACTTCGCCTGGTCTCAAAACCTGATTTATCTACATTGAGAGGGTGGCATCCCTGCATTCAGACTCAAAATCAGGTGTCCGGCACCGGCCTCCGCGCTCCACGCTGGCCGCCCAGAAGGCCGCCCAGGACCGACGTAATAGGACGCTTGCCGCATCTGAGCCATGGCAATGTAGCGACATCTTTACGCAGAAGAAGCGCCGGCCGAGCCCCCTAACGCCGAAAACCGGATCACATTTTCCTAGCTCTCACGACATAGATCATATTGCAGAACCCACGGCCCTCCGCGGCGTAGTTATTCGCCGCGCGGGCATTAATCTCGAAGCCCGCACAGGGCGCCGCCCCGCCACATGACGCATGTGGCCATGGTCAGAGCCATGGCTACGCCAGATCCCGACAGATCCCGACAGATCCTGCGTGCTGCGCATCAGCGCCCGACCCGGACAGGCCGTCGCATCAGCGCAGCGATGGGCACCGCCCGGCTAATGCGGGCAGCGCGCACCGCCGCGCCTCCGCTGGCTTACAGCTGACGTGCTGCCAGCCGAGCGCGTCCTGGGTGCGGCGCATCACGTGCCGCTATCAGAAGCGCGCAGCCTTGACAAAACGTCTGACGTCAGCTCCCACCTCACGCCATACTCCCCAATGTGCACAATGTGTGTGTTGTTATTTTACTATTATTCGATGCTAGCGCCCATATTTTTTTTACAAACAGCTTTATTAGAATATGTAATTCCTTGAGTACGGAGCATATGAGCAATGCTATTATGAAGCAGAATAGTCTTTATTGAGGGGATTTCACTCTTTTGCAGCTATCGCTCACCGTACGATTGCTGTCGTGACGACGGTGGCCGCGAATGCAGCGAAGAAGCGTAGTGCTGTTACAAAGCGCTAGCAGCGTAACTTGGACTCGAAATAAGTAAAATGTATATTCCCATTAGGTATGAAATGTCCTGTAATGGCACTACCTAGCGCTATTATTAGGCGCACCTAATCCTGACGTTTCACAAGAGCACGTTTTTGAACTATAATCACAAAGGTGGGGAACTCCTGTAACAAGATGCGCTTTTTCCGTGGAATTGCTGTATTACTATGAGCAACCACAAAGTATGTATTAACATCGTGAACATTCATATTGGCTGCCGCACTACCGCACTGACGTCTTGTATTGTACGGAATGATGACGCCGGACTCCCGCGGTCTGTTCACACATACTTTTTCAACGCACGTCGAAAGTAAGCGATGTTAAAAACAAAAGTGTGACGTGTGACACACGCCCGGAAGTACGTGTACTTTTGAGGGTGCTCAATTAAGATCGAAGGGAGCTTCCTCACTGCAGTGTACCCCATCACCAAGATCCAAATGTCCGCTTGAATTGACCTGAACATTCGGCATGCAAAAGAGCTCCAATCGATAAGCCACCACTGATCGCTCACAGACATGACGAGAATAAGTCGTGTGTTCGGCGTTCAAACTTGCAGCACAATTACCTGCACTTCTCTACTTTAAGAGACTGTGCAGCATGACCAGTTGGGAGATGTGAGAGAAAAGCAAGTCCGTCCAGTGGCAGTGACTGTCGAAAAGCATGATGCATGCGGCGGCGGTATGCTGTACGCAGGGGCATGGACTGTAGCGCAGGCCTATGCACAAGCGTCCAACACGCTGGAAGAGACGCCTTCAGGCGCCGAGATGGGCGGGCTGTGGGTACGCCGGGATGGTTGGTCTGTACGTGTGCACCGGGATGGAGTGGACTGTGGGCGTGCGCCGGGATGGGTGGACTGTGGGCGTGTCGGAGGGGGGGGGGGGCTGTGGGTGTGCACCGGCAGGGGTGGTCTGTACGTGTGCGCCGGGATGGCGCCGGGATGGGTGGGCTGTGGGCGTGTGAGGATGAGTGGGCTATGGACGTGCGCCGGAGTGGGTGAGCTGCGGGCGTATGGGGATGAGTGGGCTGTGGGCGTGCGCCGGAGTGGGTGGACTGTCGGCGTGTGGGGACGAGCGGGCTGTGGGCGTGGGCCGGAGTGGGTGGGCTGTCGGCGTGCGCAGGGATCTCTCGGACCCGCTCACCGTAATTCTCGTAGGAGAGCTTCAGCGCGTCCATCCACTCCTTGGCCTTGCGCTTGGTCCAGCAGGAGACGAGCAGGTTGCGGCTGGAGTTGACGATGGTCAGCGACTTGGCCGTGTCCGAGCCCAGGATGCCACGGTTCACGTCCCAGCCGCTATCCATCAGCATCACCTGAGCCCCGGGGAGCGGGCGGCGCCACGGGTCACCACAGGTCGCGGACGGACGCACAGCCCAATGACGGTCGACGTCGAGGATTTGCCGCCATCGACCCGACAACAATCGTCAACAACAAACAACGCCAACCACTAACCACAACAAATATCACTGAACCTGTGACAACTGGACCGCCCGTCATCACTGTCTCGGCGACATTCTGTCAAGCACTGCCCAAACCACGTGCCTCCCTGCGGGAAGCCGGACATACACGGCTTCGTCTTCGCCCGGCAATACTGCTACCGACCGGCTGGACTGACCGCTGCCCCTGCCCCTGTCAGGGCCACCACCGGGACACAACGGAGACGCTTACCGAGTGGAGCGAGCCGTCGCGGGGCCGCACGTACGCCACGTACGTGTCCTTGATCATCAGCCAGCGCTTCCGCCAGAGCGTGAAGCAGTTGGCCGCGCACTTGCGGCACCTGGAGAGCACGTCGGGAGGAGGATGGTCAGCGGCGCACTCAGTCAACAGTGCCCTTCGCGTGGTGCCGAGGCCACCAGAACGCAACACGTTTCTCGTTCATCGACCCCGCCACCGCCGGTTCCACGGACACCCCTGATCAGCACGCGGCCGCGGCACACCAGCGCCGGCGGCGTCATCCCAGTGCAGCCTTTCACGCGGGCGAACAATACCCCAGGATGGGAGACGCCAGCGGCGCAGGTGCGCGCGCGCCGAACGGTCCCGCCGCTGGCAGCCCGGCGCCGCCGCGGGGACCGGGCCGAGGCGCCATCAGCCGCGCCGAACGGCCCCGCCGCCGGCCGCCCGGCGGCGCCGCGGAGACCGGGCCGGGCCGCCATCAGCCGCGGCCCTCTGCAGCGACGCTCCTGCCGGTCCACACTCACTTGAAGCAGAGGCCGCAGTAGACGGGGCCGCGGTTGCCCTGCTTGCTGCCGACTCGCTTGCGCACTAGGCCCTCCTTGCCCTTGATGCCGAGCTCGTGCACGAACGACCACTGGGACACCTCCAGGAACTCCAGCTGCCGGGGCGGTCACGGCAGGTCAGCGCGCGCCGGCGCCACGGCGCTGACACCCTCAGCGGTCGCTGAGACGGCACGTCACACCCCTGGCAAACACCCGCGCCACCACCAGCCTCTCAGCGCTTCCCGTCGACTTCCGAGCCGCCGCTTGCGGAGCTGAGCCATCCCGCAGCGTTCGGCGCCGCCTCCCCGCCTCACCGTGTCGTGGTGGTTGCGGTAGAGCCGCGAGCGCAGCACGGCGTTAATGTACTCCTCCAGCTGCTTCATGCGCTCGGGCAGCTCGTCCTCGGTCAGCATCGAGTCGCCGCGCTTCGGCATCCTGGCGGCAGGGCGCCCGGCTGTGGTGCGGAAGGCCAGACAGCGGCCTCGGCACCCGCTGGGTGTACAGAACGGCCGGACGGCACGCACATGGCCGGATGACAGCTTAAAGAGTACCTCAAATATAGTGGCCGCGTGGACAGGGCCCACCCAGAAATGAAGTCGGTATTCTGCGACAACATACGCCATGCACATACGTCAAGACAAATTGCCCTTGCCAGCTGCCAACAAGCTACATAAATAAGGTCCATTTGATTTTGGCACCGTTGCACACGAACCCTTCATTCGTTTAACGGGAATCAACCACGCTAATATTTATATATGTCCGCAGAGAAGTGGCTAAATTTTGAAGAGCCCGCTGAGTGTACGACGAGAGAAGGTCAAGGTGCACTGGCCACGAGGGTGAGTCTCCTAAACACTCTGCGCACTTCGGGTACTGATCTCAGAGCCCGGCCGCCTCAGACATTTGGAGTGGAACGCTGTGCGCATCCGACCGTCTCCGTACCATCACCTGGGCACCGTCCCGTCACGTCCTGCCAGGGGGCCGCCTCGGCTCCGACCGCTCCGCGCCGCTCCGCGCTGCCTCCTCACCTGGGCACCATCACGTCACGTCGTTGCCAGGGGCCCGCCCGGCTCCGACCGCCTCCGCCCGCTCCGCCGCTGCCTCCTCACCTGGGCACCATCACGTCACGTCCGCTGCCAGGGGCCGCCTCGGCTCCGACCGCTCCGCGCCGCTCCGCCTGCCTCCTCACCTGGGCACCATCACGTCACGTCCTGCCAGGGGCCCTCCGGCTCCGACCGCCTCCGCGCCGCTCCGCCGCTGCCTCCTCACCTGGGGATTGCCGGCTGATCCTTGGCCTTGTTGCCCTGCATGTAGGTCTTGCGGCGCAGCTTGTGGTGCCGCGTGGGGAACGGCAGTCGCATGGCCGTGCGGAAGAGCCTCAGCGACTTGTGCAGGCTGCTGAAGTGCTTGTAGCGGCGCCGGATCACCCACCGGAACGGCCCGTGTTGACATTCCAGCTTATACCTGCGGCATGGCCAACCAGTCACGGCCTCGCGGGAACACGAGACTGGGTCTCACTGAAACACCAGGTGCTCGGAATGGGCGGTCTATTCTGTGTACCAGGGCCTAATGGAAGCAAATGTCCTCACAAGGATCAAAAGCCAGGACTCCACCGCAAAACACGGGCGGATCTGTGTGCAACCGGAATCATTAGACGACGAGCCTGAGACGGCGCTAGCACTGGCAATTTCGACACCCCGTTGCCAGGGCAGCAACGTATCGCAAAAGGTCACATCGAAAAAACTGAACGCGAAAGACCGTTGATGAAATACAGCACGCACGGATGCGCCAAAAATAGACCGGGTTGCCGCTTATGACGTCATCCTGTTATTGAGACATGCTGCCGGGACACGAAAGGCTGGCTGCTTCCACAGTTAAAAAGCGCTGTCCCAAGCCAAGCCAAGG